AGGGAGTCTGCTTCTCCCTCTGACCCTCCCCCCTCTCATGCTCTCTCTCTCTCATTCTCTCTCTCAAATAAATAAATAAAATCTTAAAAAAAAAAGATAAGTCAATAGAACTCAAGCTAAGGTAGGGGTGATAAATGCTAGCAAGAAAATAAAGCAGGAAAGGAGGATTTAAAGTGCGGGTAAAATCATAAATAGGATGGCCAAGGGAGATGAGATAAAGTGGAGAAGACATGCAACCGTATGTTATGTTAGGTGTACGTGCTACGAAGAAACACCTGCTAAGGGCAAAAGCAGTGGGAGGGAGCGGAGGCTATGGAAAGAGAGTGATCAGAGAAGGAGACTGACCTTTGAGAGGAGACTCAGAAGAAGTAAGAGGCCCAGTCACATGAAGATCTGGGAGAAGGGTGCACCGGGCAGAGGCACACTGGCCTCGAAAGCCCGATGGTGGGGGCAGGCATGGCACGCTCCAGGGCAGAGAGGCTTGTGGGGTAGGAGGGAGAAAACGGGGGACTGGACACCACTGTCCTAAGGGCAAGCTGAAGACCGTGCAGAGTTCCACAGCCATTCTGCCTTCTGGGAGCCATACATTTAGAGGTGAGTAGCTGGTTTCAAATCCATTTAACAGACTACTGAAAAGTCATTTCTTGCAAAATACAAGTGCAGGGGCTAACAGGCCGATAAAGCAGGATGAAACAGGCTCGGCTGCTGAGCAGTATATACGCTCAGAGAAAAAAGGCACGTGTACAGAAAGTTCTACTGTCCTTGAAGGCAGTAAATGAGGAAGGGGGAAGATCATGTTACTAGTTTTCAAACGTTGCAACTGAGGAGGCTTTAAAAAAAAGGGGTGGGGGGGCAGAAAAGGCTGCAAATGTATTAAGAGTCTTTTCAAACTCTTATTTCCTCCTCAGTTTGAAAGCATGATGCTGTACGCAGGAATTTCTCTTGGTGCCTCAAACATACCTGATTAACTCCTGCTAAAGAGGAAGTGTGTTTTCCTCACTTCAGAATCCCTCCCACGGTGCCAGGCACACAGAGAGCGCTCAGCAAACGGTGGGGTGGGGACATGCAGAGGGGCACTCGAGTTCCAACAAGAGACACTTTGTGTTGCTCTGACTTGAAAGTGGCTGGAAAATAAATACCAAGTATTCAAAGAAGAATAAATTTCCTCAAAAAGGAAATGACTTCTATAAACAGATCTTACTGATCCACGCATCCATTAGAATAAAACTTGAAGCTGGGGAAGAGAGTCAGGCTCTCACTCTGGGCTACAACAGCACCAGACTCGTGAATTAAGGTCACGGAGCCTCAGTGAGACACTCATCAGGGTGCCTCCACTGTCAAAGGTAAAAAGTCTATTCTGTTGTACTTCCTTCGGGACTTTGATCTCTCTTATAAATGGACATGAGAGAGCCCTAATTGATCCAGCAAGCAAAACATTTTCAGAGATCGATTACACAAGCACCAGCCTAGGCCATGAGAATCCAAAAATAAGGAGGAGATGGTCTCTACCTTAAAGAGTTAGTGTTGGGTTGAAAGTTGGATGTTTACTAAAAAAGGGAACAAGAGGGAGAAAAGCTGAACTAAAAGCGACTAACTAAAATACACTGTAAAAAGGGTTATACTACAAGAACAAAGAATGATGAAAATATAGGAAAAGGAGTAAGTCTATGGAAGACCTCACAAAAGAAGCTATGCCTAAAATAGAACTACAGGTTTGCTTTGCAGCCACATAAAATCATAAGAAGACAGAGACAACACTGTTAAAACCTACTGTTTGTTGTTCCTCACTTTCTAATTAGAGCAAAACTACACTCAATGAGACTTTCTTGAGAAACAAAAATCTTTATTTCCTTAATGTGTTTAAAATGAATATAAAGACTCCTAAGAAATGAGAGTCTTTTCAAAATTTGTCTAAGCAACATATCCCAACACAATGATTCCAAATAACTTTATCTTCTATTACCCTTCGCTATAATAACCCAGTCACATACCAAGCTTCAGGCAGCTGAAGTATTTATCACAATTTAAGTTGGTTATGGCAGCCCCAGTAAAGGAACCATAGGGCATTCAGAGATAACCCAGCACTGGGCATTGTAAAACTATTTTGCAAACCAATTCTGAAATCTCAGAAAATCGTATGTTCATCTAAGCAGTCATCAGGAGACAATAACCACAAGTGAACTCAAATCTAAGGACAAACTACTTTTTTTTTTTTTCTAAAGATTTTATTTATTTATTTGACAGAGAGAGAGAGAGCACAGATAGTCATAATGGCAGGCAGAGGGAGAGGGAGAAGCAGGCTCTCCGCTGAGCAGGGAGCCCAATGCGGGGCTCAATCCCAGGGCCCTGGGATCATGACCTGAGCTGAAGGCAGACGCTTAACTGACTGAGCCACTCAGGCACCCCGAGGACAAACTACTTTTAAAAAAAAAAACTTTAAGAGATGATAGCCCTCCCCCCCTTTTTTTTAAAGAGATAGCCCATTTACATTCAGATTAGATCTATTTTTGCAAAGAGGAAGAGAACAATAAAATTATATTCTAAAATGCCTATAAATATACATTCACAAAATACATTTTACATATCACTATAAGGATATAAAAGAAATTATTTGAAAATGAAAAGAGCACCTCAAGCTTCTTTTTGTTCACTTTTATCATGACAAAGACTTTTTTTTTTTTTTGGTACTAAGAGTAGTACAAAATGAGGAATTTAGAACTTATTTTTTGAGATTCCTGATCTACAACTATAAACAAACAAATATAAGTTGCAAATCTTGGCCGTACTTTATATAGAGTTACACTACTAAACCTCTGTAAATCTGTTTTCTGTAATAAGAGGAATAATACCAAAAGTGGAAACCAGATATAACTATAATGTATGAAATACCTACTAATTACTCTATAAATGTTGGCCTTCACCATCAATACCCAAGCCTACAAATAGGATAGTGGGTGGAGGTGACAGGAGAGAAATAAGGAAGCTAAATGATCCACTAAATTCCAGTAACATCCCTTAACAGCGTTAAGTTGCCAGTAGCTAAAATTTGTAATAATGATTTCAACTGGAATGGTCATAATCTCTTACAGTGTTTTACAGATCACAAGCAGACCTTATACATCTCAATTCACTCGTTACTCAACATATGCAATATGAATAAGCAACACAGGGACTGTCGACTCATGGTAAAGATAAGTAAACTCAAATTCAGAAAGGATATAAATCATGCAAATCAGTGACTGAGCCACATTTACTAGTAGCCATAAAAAGTCTCACATTTACTAATTTAGTTCACTCACTGGATGTAAAAGGTCTCCCGGTGAATACTCTTGCCTCTGGCCTCATTGCAGTAACGGACAACCAAAGTATCCTTCGCACTCCTCTCGGCTCCCAGGTGCCACTAGGGCCGGGAGCTAATGGCCTACCTACGCACTTTGAGCTAGGCACTGAGGCAAATTTATTCTCTTTTCTTCATTCTCAAGAAGAAACATTCTGGCCTCCACAAGCCCACTGAGTGCTACAATGAGGACCACTGAACTTCGAGTCTATGTCAAGTGTCGTGACCCAATTCTCAAATACCTTGAACTGAGATAGAGAGCATCAGTTCAATTAATAATAAAGTAGAACTTTGATTTCCAATTTGTCTTTCTGCCTCTGGAATTTCACAGGGAGAAACGGGTTGTTAAGGGAGCCAGGATTCAGACATTCCTGAGTCCTCTGGACCTACGACCTGATATTGTCAGAACTACTTCATTTCTAAAAGATAGATCTAATTCAGATAGTTATCCTAAAAACTGTTCTTAACCAAAAAAACCCACAAAAAAAGAACCATAAAAACATACTGAGCACACCCCAGTAAAATCAGGAGGCCTTCATTAAAAAAATAAAAAGTAAAGTTCATGTTCATTAAGTTAAGGTTATCCTGCTATGCTAGACACATTTTGGCTTTGAGATCATTTAAAAATTAGTTAGAAATAATTTTATAATCAGAAAAAAGTTTAAATAGATTACATTACAATTAATTTTGTTTATTTCAAATTATACAGAACAAAACAAAAAACTGTAATGATTTAGAAAGAAGGTAAAATTCAGTAAACCCAGTCACATACCAAGCTTCAGGCAGCAAAACAGAATATTCATGTGGAGAAGTGGTCTCTGGGAAGTTGGAGAGAATTGCAAGACGATGAGGAAGCAGATCTGATCCATGATAAGTGAGCAGTATTTCTAGGGCTTGTACGTTACTTTCCTGTACAAACAGCAAGGGGTAAATTTCCACTGTAAACCTTAGAAATAAAGGAATGATTTTGTAGGACAATGTTCAAAAACCTAAAATTAGCTTTTTGTGCAGCTCTGATATAAGGTACTTTGAAATATTTCTAATTCTTCCTAGTCTGCATCACATTTCTCAATCTAGTGCTGTGAAAATTACTTATTTTTAAAATTCAGAATGATGAATAAACATTTTATTTTATGTTATTTATTTGAGAGAGAGAGAGAGAAAGTGTATGAGCAGGGCGAGGGGCAGACAGAGAGGGAGAAATAGACTCCCCGAGGATTCAGGGCTGGATCCCAGGATCCAGAGATCATAACCCGAGCCAAAGTCAGAAGTTTAACCAACTAAGCCACCCAGGCGCCCCCACCTTTTATTTTATTTTATTTTATTTTATTTATTTATTTATTTGAGAGAAAGAGAGTGAGAGCAGGGGGAGGGGAAGAGGGACAATGAATAAACATTTTTAAAAATATAATTCCATTTTCTCTACATTACTATTACAACAAAAAATGAAATGATGCTAAATCATGCAATAACATTAACTGCACAGCTCAGAGATTTAGAAAGTATTAATAACCATAATTATTTTATTTACAAAAAAGAAATTACCCGAGCATAAGTTCTTGCTGAGAGAACAATATTCTGATTTCTGAACTTCTTAAAGAATTCAGCATCGTATCTCTGTTCAGATGCATGAGGCACTCCTAGGATTTCCTGAGGGGAAAGAGTGACTTAATAATGAAAAGGCTTTTAAATACGGCTGACAAGAAAATATTAAAAACCTTTACAACTCTGCCTCCCTAAATAAATAAGCCCTGAATTAACTGTTAACTGAAGTAGTACATCTGCATTCCTGCCTTTATTTTGAAAATGGTTATATTTATAAATGCTGATAATTTTTAAAAAATTAAGAAGTAAATGAAATAGGCAGTAAAAAATTAATTACAGCATGACAAAAAAAACCCACCACCTGCTAAAAACAAATAAGCAACCATTATACATAGCTGTGCATTATGAGAACCTGCATCTGTGAGAGAACTTTAGGTTAACTTTACAGCTGCTGGTGATCGATGTACAAGGCAGACTGAACCATTCATTCATTCAGTAAATATTTATTGAGTGTCTACTACATGCTAGGGGCACCATGATAGGCAGCAGTGATATAATGAACAAGACATGTTTTCTGCCCTCCAAATTGCTTAAAATCTAGTAGGGAAGACAAACAAGCACACAGGAACAGGTAAGAGGAAACACACAGGAAGGGTACTATAAAGCTAGTTCGGGGAGGGCAGGGAAGGCTTCCCAGGAGTGGGCCCGAAGCTGGGATATAAAAGACAAATAGGAGTTAGCCATGGCAACTGCAAGTGAGGATCTGCCCACCGCACTGCATGACATAGGGCTCGTGTCTGTCATGTTTAATGCTAACCCCAGATACCTAGCAGACTGCTTTTCATATAATAAGTAACCAATAATTACTTACTGATTGAATTAATTTACTGAGGTAGGTGAGAGACAAGAATGAGGAGGTGGGGAGGAGGTGAGAGAGGGAGGGTGGACTGTTGAGAAGGTCACTTGCAAATATGTTGGGCTTGCAACTATAGCACATCTAAAAGGAGCCTCCCAGGAGGCAGGTGGATAGACAGGTCAAGAGTTCTGGAGTAAGCTGAGTCACATATATGCCATACTATTACTCATACAGAAGTGAATATGATTTCAAGGGAGATTAAGTTGAATGAAAGGAGCCTTAAGGAGCAACATCATTTAAAGGATCAACCAAAAAAAAAAAGGTTGGGAGGTCGTGGAGGGTGAGGGGACGGCAGGAATCTGCATCTGAAAAGCAAATGAAGGAGCAGCCAAAGAAGTAAGGGGGGGGGAAACTGTTTAACACATTCTCACAGAAACCAAGAAAGAAAACATTTCAAAAATGTTCTCAGTTCCCTGACTCCTCATTCACAACAATCATTCCCCTTATTCCATCACAGTTACACATCCTACCACCACCCTGGATCTCTATCATCACCAAGAGGGAAGTCTCTGGGACATCTCATGTCAAACACTGGACTCTTGAGGAACTGCTCCCCCACCCCCACTCAACCCAGTACATGGTATTCCAGCAATTCCTCAAAGTCACTGAGACATCCAGTCCCCTGACCTTACCTTTTTCACCTGCTGTCTTTCCTCCAAATCTCTTATCCCTTCCAACCAGTCCCTGGTCCAACATTATAGAGATTTAATAATCCCTTGCTTCTTTCCCTTCATCATATTACCTGGCGAAACCTCATCCTTAGTCCAAGGCAACTATGAACCCTGATTACAAGTTACCAGGAGTCTGAAAAAAATATCACAAAACCAAGCTGACAATTCTCATTTCAAGATCTCAGCACTGTTAGGATCCTGATCCAAATGAACCAACTGTAAAACCATTTGTGAGGCAACCAGAGAAATCTGAATGTGAAGTGGATAGCAAATGATATTAGGGAACTGCTACTAATTTTCTTAGAAATAATAGTGTTATTGTGGTTTTTTTTTTTTAAGTCCTTACCAATTACAGACATATAAGTATTTATGGGTGAAATGATAAGATGTGTAGGATTTGCTATAAAACGACTAAGTGAAAGAAAAGGCAGGAGTGGAGAGTAAAAGATACAAGATTGGCAAAATGGTTGAAGCTGGGCAGTGAGTACATCTGGGTTCATTATACTCTTCTCTATATTTTAAGGAAGGCTTGACATTTTATAAATTCAATTCAAATCTGCTGTCCCTCAACGCTACTACATTTCCCTAACAAGTTTTCTCTCCTATTCTGTTAGGAACTTTTCCACAATTCCTTCATTCTTTCCAGACCTCCAACACTCATTCCCGTCTCCATTCTCAACTGAAAACTTGCTTCATTTAGTTTTTTAACTGACACTATTAGATGGGCTATCCATTCATTTTCCAACCCACTAAAACTGTACATCTACCTGCATCTATACCAATAGGCTTTTTCCTCCTTCAGCCACAACAGAAAAATTATACACATTTGCTCCCCAAACAGCCCCGAACCCTACTCAAGCTCCAAATTCCATTTCTCCCGTTTCTATAATCATGCCATTATCTCCTCTTTCTTCTGTTCGATAAATTCCTCCTCACCCTCTACTGCTTCCTTCCCATTAATATACAAACAATGCTTCCTCCTTCTATTAAAAAAATAACTCTTAATTTCATATACCCTGTAGCTAACACCATCTTCTTGGCTCCCTTGAAACAAAACTTCCTGAAAGAGCTGTCTACAACTACGGTCTCCACTTACCCACTTCCTGTTCTTTCCTAAACTCACTCAACCTCTAACAGTTCAATTCCATTCCTTACACAGCATGACAGACCTTTCAAAACGTGGCCAGAAACTCTTCTAACTACCTCTTCTCCCTTTGGTCTGTGCTGCCCCTCCCTCGCAGTCCAGCCCCCACACCAGCTCACTCTGTCAGAAGCACCCCATCTCCTTTCACGCTGCTGGGCCTTTCTTCATATAGCACGCTGATTATCAGGGCAGGCAAATGAATCCAAGAGACCTCGTTATGAGTTCCTGCTTTCTACTTAAGCAAATCACTTTCCTTCTCCAAGCCTCAGTTTTCATATCCATAAAACTAGAAGGAGAATAGCACCTGCCTGAAAGGACTGCTGAGAAATAATCCAGATTCAGTACCCAGCACAGTGGCTGACAGACACTAAGTCCTCAACAAACGTGCTGGTATTTCTTAAGGTATTCTCTTACCTTCCAATTGCTTCAACAAATATTTGCTGAGCTCCTCAAGGAGCCAGGTACCAATCTGAGCTTGGGGATATAGCAGCCAACAAGACAAAACCCCTACACCTTTCCAGAGCTTCTGCTCCCATGTCCCCCTTGGAGTACTCTCCAGCCCCCTAAATCTGCCTGCCCTTTTTTTTTTAAGGACTAGTTGGAATATCACTTCCCATGCAGCGTCTTCTCGGACGTCCCCAGGAAAAATAGAATGTTTTTCTCCACTATGCTCTCTCATCAATTCTTCACACATCGTGGTCATTGCTTACTGCCTACATAATGAAGACTTCAGAGGGGCAGTTCCTTGCTCCTATCCCCCCTCCAGTACTGCCATGATGGCTGGTACATACCAGGCATTTGTGTCACATCAAAATGAATCCATTTTATCTAATTTATCACAGAATTCATAAAATAAGCTATGCCCCAGGATTAAAATGCAATGCCTATCTCTACTACTCCCTAGCTGGTGAGCCACTGTACCTGAACATCTTCATTTTTAAGTTTTAACAGCCGAATTCATCAACTTTGCCTACTTTTCAAAAGCCTAATTAGCCTAATTCCCTAAGAAAGTGGGCTCAACAGATACTTTAAACCATGCACCTAGTAAAGGTACTTATAACTGTCAAATAGAAAAATAGTGCTTCGATGACTAAAGGGTAATGAAAGAAAATTAACTGGGTAGTCAAACTCCGGACATTTTATGGAACTCTTTAAGATCTCAAAATCAATAAAATTCAGTAAAACAAAGGCTAAGAAAACACAATAAACCATATCTGTACCAACTTCGGCAGTTCATTACATGCTTTTATGTATTACCTCAAAATAGAACTCCAACACAATAAAAGGATATGCTTTAAAATAACATGACCATCCAATAATCAAACTAGTTGTACCTATAGATAAAAGTATTAGGAATTTTTTTTCAACCTGTTTGTACGAAATGATATACTCACTACCACGTTTTCTAGTGACCATAAATAGCTCTCTTTTGTCAGTGGTATTTTGTTTGAAAACACTTCTGTTTCATTAGCAGGTGGGAAATCAAATGCTTTTGGATCTGCCTATAGGCATTAGAAATATTAAATATCTCCATTATCCCGGGGACAAGCATCACATCATTAGAGGTCACATTTACTGAGCGCCTGCTTTGTACCAGCACCAAGAGCCGAGAGAGGTGTGCCCACGGAACGGAGGACTAACAAAGATGGAGGAAGTAACCTGCAAGTGAAGTCAAGCTTTGAAAGTTAGAAATTTATATTAATTTCTGGGTCATTTCAGCTATGAGGGTCATGTGAAAAAAGCAGTCTAAACTATGTCCATTTGCTGAAATATCTTTAACAACATCTGAATTGTGCTATCGAACATGGAAACATCAGTGTTGTGTCCCTAAAGAAATAAAAATAAAGTATGCCTTTTTTAAAGTTCAAGTGTCTCATTTTGGCCATAATTAGGATCAAAGTTCAACCAACTAAATTCAACCCACTAGCAAATCATTAAAATGAGTCAGAAATATTCATATGAGGATTATTAAAACCCAGTGCATAATGAAATTTAGTACTGGAGACAGCTATATGCCATAACCTTAAAATCAAAATGTAAAATAAAAGTAAATGAAAAGGATCATATATCTAGAAAACACAGATACACTGAAATGGCTAAAGCATTTCCACTTCCTAGACTAACACAACGTCTGCCTTCCACAATCTCTAATTTTTACCAAAGCTGGTATGTAAGAGAAACTGCTCCTGCACAAAATGAATTTTTCCTAAAACATAACTAGTTATAAAGATGAAGAACGTCAGATATTAGGGTAGCCATAGCATTTATAATGATAGATCAAACAAACATAATTGGTTTGATTAAAACTAGTCCTTACCTCGTATGTTGCAAGCCGATCTAAGTAGGTTAATAATTTCAGTCTACAACGGCAAAGTTCCTTTTGTTCCAGTGTTAACCTGTTGTGAATAACTATATTAGGCTACTTATATTAACACAGAAGCACACTTCTCTACGAGTTAAAATAGAATAAAAATAACAATATTCCACTGAGCCCCAAACTGACGGAACAATACACAAAAGCACAAGGGTAAAATAATACTAACTGCGTTTGATGTAAGTTGCTGGAATAATTCAGAGCAATTAATCCTCGTAAAGAATACACTTAAATGACTAGTTATTTTAAGGAAAGTACCAAACAGTTACAAATCATTTACTTTGCAAAGTTCACTAATTTAAGTAGTTCCCGTCTCTTCTTGATCTTCTTCTCCTTTTTATTCTCGGCAGGCTCTTCATCGGGTGGTGAAAGCTCCTCATAGGGGATACTGTCAATGTCGACTTCACCAGGTAATGTGAATCTAGAAGAAAAAAAAAAAAAAAACCAAAGCTATTAGTGAAAGCTGTATTCCCCTACTCTGGCTGATTTTATTACTACGTTGATTTCCACAGAAATAGAAAGAACCAATTATTTGAAAGAAAGCTTTTGCATTGCAAGCAAAGTGATTCACTCATTATATCCACAGGATGAGCAAAAAGTCATCACTAATCGTCACACACAAAAATTTTAAAATCACGGCAATGAAAACTACTTAGGAAAACATGTGAGGTTATACTCACCCAATGTGAAATAGCCCATGAAGAAAATGTTGCCCAGAGTTTACAGTCTGAATCACTTCTATTTAAGGTTTTAAAATGGTTTACTTAAAAAAATAAATAAATAGGGGCGCCCAAGTGGCTCAGTTGGTTAAGCATCCATCTTCGGCTCAGGTCATGGTCCCAGGGTCCTGGGATGGAGCCCAGCTCCCTGCTCAGCAGGGAGTCTGCTTCTCCCTCTCCCTTTGCCCCTCCCCCTGCTCTCTCTCACGCATGCTCTCTCTCTCAAGTAAATAATAAAAATCTTAAAAATAAATAAAATAAATGAATAAATAAATAAAAGTAAAATAAAATTTGAGGGGAACCTGGCTAGCTCAGTCCATAGAACATGGGACTCATGATCTTGGGGTCATGAATTCAAGCCCCACATTGGGCATAGAGATTACTTAAAATTAATTAATTAGCGTACAAAAAATAAGGTTTGAAAATGATAATGAATGTCAGTCTCATTTACAGTACTTATTCATTAAATATACCATCACACTTATATCTTTAAAAAATTCCAAATGTCTAATGAACAATAGCTCTTGTCAAATTACTACTATTATTGTCAAACATTTGTGTGGTACTGACAAGTTTATGAAGTGCTTTCATAAAACACACGATTTAATCACTCGAATTCTCTAAAGGAGGTATGAAGCTCACACTTGCCAAGGGGGTGCTCCTGACTGGTAAGCACTCCCAGGTACGTGTCTTTAGCCCACAGATTAGAAACTGCCAGCATCCGATAAAGGTTTGGAGAATCTGCTCTTTTCTTAGCATCAAGCTATCATAGGTATACATATTTAACTCAAAGGAAAGAAAGCTGTGACCTCAGATAAGAGAAGCATTGATCAAAGGCAACTGTCTCATTACAGGATAACCTAAATAAAGAAAAGTTTACCCTCTGCCATGTCTCAGCTTCAGTGTTTTCATAAAGTCACCTTCCCTCTTGAATCCAAATCTTTCTGTGACCAACCTGCCATCGTGCGTTCCTTTCCCTATTGCTACCAGAGTCTCCAGGTCTGTGCCTTTCAATCCATACTGAAGCAGTTCCTTCGCAGCATCCACATTTTCGGGAACTCTTTCCAAACACTCATGAAGAACCCAGGATCGTTTCTTTATTTTGCTCTGGATACAAATGAAAAACAGAGGCAGTAAAGAACCCAGGACATCTGATAGCATGTGACAACCGCCTTCTAGAATCATAAAGTTAGACCTAAGGGAGTACAGCTATCTAAGCCCTTAGCCACAGGTAGCTTCTAGAGAAGCTCAACAGGAAAAGGCTAATTCCCTAATGGTGATTGGAATGGGATATAGAAAATGAGATTCCTACAGTTTTCTTTTTTTCTTCTAATGAGACACACTGAAACACAAAGCTCAGGACTCTTTTTCAGAAACATATAAAAGATCTACCCAAATTTTTATGGCTGCTCGTTAGTTTGCATTTGGGCTATATAATAGAGTAGAAAAGCAAGCAGAAAGGCAAGATAAGATATATCTTATTGTAACAAGCATGCTTCACTCTGAAACAAAACTAATGAGGCATAACACATCAAAGTTCTATATTTACTTGCCCATGAGATGTAACACAAAGTGCAGATGATAATTTAATTATAAAAAGCCATGATACGCTATTCTTTGGGAAGACCAGGGGCCGATTCCTCCCTCCCAACTGCTTCCTCTGACTCCATTCAAAATCCCTGACTTGCCCTCTTCAAGAAAGAGTCATTGTGGTTGTAAGTTTTAAGTAAGATTTGACTCCTACCCTGCATTCCTTTACACACTCCATTCTATCAGTTCTTTCTTCAAATGTCTCTTAACTCATTTCCTCTTCTCCAGCTCTATGGCCTCCATACCAGTCCAGGTCATCGACACATGACAGCTGTGACATCTCAGGAGTCCCTTGCCCTTAGTAGGGTTTCCCACCAACACTCTCCTTCCATGCTAGTTCATCTTCTACACCATCTCCCTCTGTACCTCCACAGTCAAAAATCCACAACACTTCCCCATTACCCTAAAGATAAAAAGCCTAACTCATCACAAGCCTTCCACATCCTCCAGAACCCAAGTCAGTGTATCTTCTAATCATATTTCCCAAAGTTCACTGCTGTTGAATAGCTGATCCAGCAGATGCGTTAACTTACAGAGCTCATTTACTCATCCAAAAAATACTGACTAGGTGCCTAAGGGGGCCAGGTACTAATCTAGACATGAAGCAATGATTATGACAAATTCAGTCAATGCCACAGGTCATGCTCATTTTCTTTTAATTTGCTCATACCATTTGTCCCATGAAGAATGCCTTCCTCTCTTCTAACTCCAGGAGGCCTGCTCTGAAGTCTCTCAAAGCTGCTCAAAACGTCTTCACTCTATAGCCTTCCATAACCACTGGATCTAAAATGATTGCTACTTTCACTGGGTTCCCACAGCATTTTTCTGGAATCTTCTTGTATGGTTATTTATATTTTAGACATGAAGCTTATCTTCTCAGAAACATCATAAGCTCCCTAAAAGGGAAGGCCATATTTATGCTTCTCCTGTACTCCTTTCACCTTCTCTCGCCTAGTGCTTTTACTCTTAATTGCCTATTTATTTAGCTGAAATAAGTATTTCTCCCAATAAAAAATGTACTTGCTTTGTCTCTCTTAACACCTGTCAACTCCTTCAGGGACCAAAATTGTCCTTTACTGTGTTCCAGAAAAAGCCCTGAATGGGTATACATAAACTCACATGCTCACTGTCCTGAGTCACAAAAGAAGAAAGATAATACAGCTTTGGTGTTCTAATCTTCTAAAGGAAATACAAGCAACTTCTCTTCTTCCTTTATTTCATTATCTCTCATGCTCTCTCTTTTCTGGTGTCTTATTTGTTAACAGTTTATCTTCTGAAATGGTTAAAGCATCAACTTCTTACAACTACTTGTATACGTGAATTTTATGTAAAGAAATTATCATGAAAATTTCCCAACATTTCTTAGATCTTCCTAAATGCAAAGGCATTTTCCTTTTTAAATGTCACATAAGAAGTCATGCCCTCTTTAAAGCATGCCATAAATCCAACTGCATCCTCACAAAAGTGCCGAGGGTCCCAACACACAGGCTACGTAACAAATTTAACCCAGGCAGCAGGCAGCAGGAGGAACCCAGCTGTAATATTTAAACAAAGAAGGAGAATTTGGAAAGCTTGATATGTCACTTATCTATTGCCTCTCAGCTTCAAAAGTTCTCCTCACTGCCAGTCATGGGATGGACAGCATTTCCATTTTGCAACTGACAAAATATCAAGCTTCATCAAGAGAGGGCGCTGGAGGGCCACTGCAGAGGAAAGGCTCTGGTTTCTAGTCCTAATGTGCTCAGGTTCTAAACTTGTTCCTATGGCTTAGCAGCCAGCAAAGCATGTAGGGGACATCCAGAAGTGCCTGCTTCCCCCCTTACTCCCACTGAACACAACTTCCCACTGAATTTCAGTTGTTACTCCCATGGGCATATTCCTTCCCAGTAAATTTCCCAGGCACATGGGCGGGGGGAAGCGGGGAGGCGGGGAGGCGGGGAGGCAGGGAGGGGGTCTTCCTAGACTATGCCCACCTGCATACTAGGAACTTTTCTTTTCAGTCCTGGCCATGGTTCCTTATCTGAGGTTTTCCGACCGCCAACCTCAGCTTGCCGGGGCACCCTAACTATAGGCATCAGCTTGCCCAACCATCCCACCTTTTCCTACCTGCCAACCATGGCAACTAAGAACCAGCCCTGGCCCGAGGCATCCCAAAGAACTCTTCCTCCAATGTGCCCCCAATTACTCCAAAGTTCAAAGAGGTCTGAATCCCAGCTCAAGGGAGGAGGCCTCCCTTCCAAGTTTGTTCCCTTCTTGGGTCTGCTCCTTCAACCTTAAGCTATTCCTTAGGGTTCTCTTTACCCCTTTATAGTAAATCTCACTAGAAAATAATGCTCCATATTAAAACTTTCCCTGTTCAAATTACTAGGTGGTTTCTGGCTCCTGAGGGGACCCTGAATGATGTAGGCGAAGAAAGTAACTGAGGTAGAGGAAGAGAAAGGATTAGGCCAAAACCAGGTAGTTAGCTGGTTTATCAGTGACTATTTGTTCACATATCTTCAGCACTAAAGTTCAGCTGCAAGGCTAATACAACCAGATAAAAGATAACTTCTCCACATTGAAAGAAACACACTTCAGCATTAGAAATGTCAGCAATATAAAATGCTCCAATATGAAGTCCTCTAACCAAAAAAAAAAAAAAAAAAATTCCATACATTTGAATTTTACCATGTTACCAAAATATTTAAACATACCAAGTAATTCTGGATTGAAGCAATGTTGACGGCGGACTTCCTCCACTGCCGCTGATACACTAGATCCGTATCCAGGCCGTAGGTCTGAGCTAGAGACAAGGCTTCCTCATACTCTTCACTTTCAATCTTGGCACAAGGAATGGGAAGAGGAACGTTACATTACTGAATCGTCCAGTGTCACTATCATGAGGTCACGGATGAGGATAATCCCTTCACTTCACAGCATGTGATGCACTGCTAACTATTCTCATGTGCACAGTGGCACCAGAAGCCCACAGACCTGTTGGGGGGCAGACAGACCACGTATTCCTTTCCACACTCAACAGAAAGCTGAGAGACAGCTGAAGTGCCCACATTTATAGAGTAAAACAATAGGCAGAACCAGGAAAGGAGTGCCAACAGCCTAAGTCCTCGTCCAGGGCCCACCCGGGACCCTGCAGGGACAGCACACATAACCGGAATGCTCAGCGTGGATTCAATCTGCTCCCCAAGCAAAGCCCTGGCTGGAGAGCAAGCCCGCAGTTCTTCCCTCACCACCTGCAGTCTCAGCAGACAGCTGCACTTACCAAGGATCAGGTGAGAGCTGAAGGCCACGTGAAGGGCAACGGAGACCTGGCTAAGCCACAAGTGGACAGTCTAAGTGAATTCATCTTTTATCCACTGTTTTCACTTTGACTCCTCAGGCACAAAAAGCCGGCACTATTTTCACAAGCTCTATCCCACGGATACGTCTAACGTGTCAATGATAGGGTAATCCCTCTTTAAATTTCTGTATTAAAAAATTAGTCTTTTCCTCACTGAAATAAAATCTGGAGGCCTGGGAACTTTGGAAGTGATAGGATGCCCCCCTCACCTTTCTCTGATAAAGCTCCTCCGGAGTCGTGGAGCGCAAACTCACGAGGCGGTAGTTTTTAGTAATGGCTCGCGGGCGTTTCCGTGGGGGTGCGAATCGCTCCATTTCCGTCACCAGATATAGGCCCTGTTTTATGTAGCCAAAGTAGCGAGCCTTGGCAGACACCTCCTGATCAGAATCAGAATCCTCTTCCCCTTCTTCTTCATCTCCACCCCGAGTCTCCAAACGAGATCGTTTGGGGGTAAGTTTAATCTCACACTAAATGTAAAAAGGAAATGTTAAATCAGTAGTGAGGAACTCAAGACAAGCTTTTGAATCCATGAGAAAAATATTTTTAATTCTACTCTGGTTCATGCATGACATGAGCCACATGATGAAGACAAAGAGTAGACTTCAGAGGAACCCAACAACAAACAGAATACCCATCAACAGCTCCAGAAATATCCACAGCCTTATTGGCCACAAATCTCCAAAACTAAACCCTGTTTTCATAATGGCTCATTAATATGATCTCTTATATATATGTCTGGCAATTATTTTAGGAAAATAAAAAGAATGCTAATTCCTTCACTTTTTTTTTTTTTTAAGATTTTATTTATTTATTTGAGAGAGAGAGAGAATGAGAGACAGAGAGCACGAGAGGGAAGAGGGCAGAGGGAGAAGCAGACCCCTTGCTGAGCAGGGAGCCCGATGTGGGACTCGATCCCGGGACTCCAGGATCATGACCTGAGCCAAAGGCAGTCGCTTAACCAACTGAGCCACCCAGGCGCCCCTAATTCCTTCACTTTTGATATTTTTGTACCTGCTGTAGAGAAATAGGATTTTTTCACCTATTTAGAAAATGAACATGAAGGTATTTATTTGCTTTACTGAGAACAGCTCTCCTGCCTTCCCTCCCTTTTTAAAAAAAAATGTCTAACAGCTTCACAAACTTCTGAGTCTGAAAGCCTGACTATTAAAGATAACTTTCATTCCCAGACTTAACAGAGTTGGCTTCAATTTTAAGCCATGGTTCTCATTTATGAAATAACATCTGTAGACTCAGTAACAAACATTGAGGTAAAAAATACTTGTAAATCTGCACTGAAGTGAAAGCTATTAAAGGTGCTTTACCCTTGAAAGGCCTAGAGTAAGAATTTTTAATGACCAAAACATAACTTTAAATTACTAGCCTCCATTTTCACGTTTTTTGACATGAGACAAACAAGCTTTCTTTACTAAAAAGAACCAGAATTTTTAAGTTCCCAAACTTCACGGAAATAGTTTGTTTAAAGACCATATTTAAGTAGAAATACCTTTTACATTTTAAGATGTCTAATCTAAGAAAAAGAAAAAAAACTAACATGCCTGTGAAGAAAAAAATGCTTTATAAAGAACAAAATGACTCCATTTTCTTCAGTCTTACAATGTAATTTTTTTAAATGACTAAACAATAGATCTTTCTTATACTGCACTCAATCTCTGATTCCAATCACAGGTTTTTGTTTTTAAGGACAAGATTAGATAATGGGATAGCTAAAATTTAAAAATCAAATGTTTAGCCATACTTCAATAAAAATAAATGGACAGCCATCATTAAAAAAAATTAATTACATTTATATTAAAATCAGGTGTTTAGATTTTTGGTGAAATGCATGTTTATTTTCCAACACACCAGCTGCTCTAAAACGGAAAGCATTACCTCCAAACTTAAAAATCCTCCATCATGGGTAGCAGTGACTTGAGGTGACGGTTCGAACCACTCACAGGATTTTCCCAGTAAATTCTTCAAAGTTTTCACTGATGAAACAGTCAAAGCACCCGAGCAACGAGCCAGAGTCACGGCGTTGGCTGCCCACCAATTTACATCTATCAATGGGTAAAAGGACTCTTTATCTAATGGAGAAAAAAAAAAAAATCAATACAAGTCCATCTGTCAGTGTGGCTTAAATACAACACATTTAGTCCAATGATCAATTTAAAAACCATATTTGGGCCCTAAACATGTTAAGTAAGAAAAAATAAATTGTAAGTCATCACCCAAATTTTTACAAAATGGTAATTTATTTAATAAACATCTAAGTGTCAACAATTTACCAAAGTCCAAAATTCTGAGGATGCAGGAGTAAGTATGTTTCGGTCTTTCCACTTAAAAAATGAAGAATATACAGATAGTACCACCATTTTCAACAGAGTAAGCTGAAGGCTGGTGTGTACAAAGTATACATAAGGGTTATAAAAGGTTTTAGAGAATGTTCATATATCCTTTTTCAGACAAAATGAGAGAATTATACTCTTAATAAAAATTTAAGACAGATATATAATCGTCTTCAAAGCTGATTTCCTCTGAAACTTGTGAAGGAGATCAGAATCACCACCTCAAAATAGGCCACTTTGATATAAATATTTTAAGATAAAGAAATTTGAGAAACCCAAAGTTCTTTTTGTCTTGTCACTTCTCTTAATAATTTTATTGTTCCTTTGCCAAAATGCTGTATAAGTAAGCCCAATTTCCAAACAACCCTTGGAGTTAACTCATTTCTGGGTACTCCCATGTGTAAGTTCGATGTACACCCTAGAAACTTGTTTGCTCTTCTCCTGTTAATCTGTCTTGTGTCAATCTAATTATACAGGGCCTCAGCCAGAGAACCTTGGAGAGTAAAAAAAAGATTTTTTTTCATCCCCTATATATATCATCCAGAGAGCACTTTTATTATACAATAGTAATCTCTTAAGGTTTTAATTATCATATTTCATACAACTCACCTTTGATTTTTTTTCTCTTCTCAATAGAGAGTCTCCAATCAGGATTAAGTTCGTCATAGCCTGGCTAAATGTGAAAAATATGCACAGGACTTCTTGAGTCAACAAGGTAAGAAAATCATGAGAACATCATCAAGAACTATGGATTTTTTAAAGTAACAAAATATGGAAATGACGCTTTCCTTCAATCTTTTAATTATACCTAGCTGAAATCTATTCCTCTCAATAATCTTGTTCTTACACTTCAAATGTGCACAAGCAACTACTGTGACTCAATTTAATAAAGAAAATAGCATGCATAAGAACAGTAAGATAGCGAGTATGCAATTAATACAAATGAGAGCAAGATACACTAACAGTTCTGCACACACACACACACACACACACACACACACTTACATTCTGGGAGAACAGCTATGCTGTTGTAAATAACACAGGCCTGGATGCAAGTCCTACTCCTACAACTTATAAGCTGAGCGACCCCTCCAGGCCTTGGGCTCCCTAGCTCTGAGACAGGACTCTGCAACCCCCATGTTATCTCCAGTTCTAACTTCCTAGGACTAAAAATTTACTAAGTAAAAAAATATAACCATGCAATCCTCAAACCAGATCTATTCATATTCTAATTTCATGGAACATAATGTCATGCCCACCTTCTAGAATCTCAAATATACAACAATTGAGATTAAGGCACTGCCATACACCCTCTTGGCTCATTGTTAATTATTTCATTTTCAGAATTTTAACAGTATGGGAAAAGGCCAGCAAAAAATCATTTGGCTACTTATCTGAAATCTTAAGCCTAAAATAAAAATGCTATATTACATCAAAATGTGCTTTTTCATCTAATGTAACAGAACAAGCATATATGTTTTATTAACAATTTCTCAGTGGCTAACCCTTTAGAGTATGAAAATTAGTACTTCTTTCCATGGCCTAAAAGAACTTCCTGATCTCCACCACTATGATAAATCACTCAGAGCAGTCCCTGAGAACAGAAGATAGAATTCTTTAAACTTTATCCAAAAAGTTACCATAAAAGGCAAGAAATAGAATGTCCTCGTTTACTTTATCATAAAAAAGAGAATTAACTTTCAAAGACTTAGACTACCAGAAGGTATATATTAGTGAAAATAATCAACTTATTGAAATCTTATTTGATCGTTTATAGGGCACTTTAGCCATTTTCAGTCCCCCTGAATCACTGGTGTACATGTTCCCACAGCACCACATGCACGTCACCACTGATTTTATTTTTTTAAGATTTTATTTATTTATTTGGCGGAGAGAATAAGAGCACAGCAGGGGGAGCATCAGGCAGAGGGAGAGGGAGAAGCAGGCTCCCCGCTGAGCAGGGAGCCCAATGCGGGACTCGATCCCAGGACCCTGGGATCATGACCCTCTGAGCCGAAGGAAGACGCTTAATGACTGAGCCACCCGGGCGCCCCATACCACCACTGATTTATATGACAACATGTGTGCCTCCCTAAACTGACATTCTGAAGTACACTAGGGGAGCAGGGAGTAAAGCTTTAAGTCCCACAAGCAACAACAACAACACTGATAATTCAGCCTTAGGTAAATTTAAGTACGTACAGAAGACAATGAAATTTAAAAGAAATCTTCAAAAAATTTTCAAAAGAAATCCCTCAGTGGTATAAGTACGTTGAGAATTCAAGGTGAGCTTGTCTTCATCCAAGTTAATGATGAGAAGGAGCACCATGAACAAGCAGTACTAGTCTATGGGGGTCAGTCTCCACATACTTTGGGACTAGACTGTTCCATGCAGATGGCTTAAATAATGGATGTCTCTTGTGATTTCATTTCCTAACCACAAGCTGAAGATTTGTTCTGCATCCACAGCTTTGTCAGTCATCCTCCTATTCCCAGATCCATCATGGTGCTCACCTGTCATAGTAGCTAAATGCTGAATAAGTGAATGAATTAATCTTTTAAATCACTGCACTCCAATGAGAATGCCTACAGTACAGGAAAATTAGTTGACATAGTAGTAGTGTTCCTACAACCTCTAACAAGTGTGGTTTCTTCTGCTATTTAGTCAATGAATACTGTGAACTTACACTGTGAGAGAGGGAAAAGAAATCAGATATTGTAGGTCCCACAACTCAAGCAGGCAGAGAGCTAAGAAACAGATAAAATTTACTATAACCCAAGTTGAAATTTGATAACTACCCAAAAAGAGACCTAGATAAAAGCACCAAGGGTATCAAAGGATGAAGAGATCATTTTTTAATACAGGCTTGAGAAAGCCAAAAGGGGTTAAAGAGGTATAAAGAAAGTGCTTCACTGGTGCTATCAGACTGGATAAAACCTGGGCATGGAACATGGGTGGAGGAAGACATTCCAGTCGCAGAAATACAACATGAGCGAAAGTACACAAAAGGCTAAAAAAGTACTAAATTTATTCAGGAAACAAGAGTAGGTCAGAGGGTGGCTGGGTGGCTCAGTTAAGCATCCGGCTATTGGTTTCAGCTCAGCTCATGATCTCATGGGCCCTGGGATCAAGCCCCACATGGGGCTCTGCACTCAGCAGGGAGTCTGCTTGAAGATTCTATCCCTCTGCCCCTCCCCTCCACTCATGCTCTGTCTAAAGTAAATAAATAAGTCTTTAAAAAAAGAAAAAAAAGTAGGTCCGTTTAACTAAAGCACAGGAATATCAGTTCTCATGATCTGCATTTTTGCTTGTCTTAGGGTTCTGGGGGATGTGAGGGTTCACAAAGTCATTTTTTGTTGTTGTTGAGCTAAAATTCACATAATGTAAATTAACCATTTTAAAATGAACCTTCAGTGGCATTTAGTATGTTTACCGTGTTGTCACTTCCTTTTTGTTTCCAAGCATTTCTACCAATCCAAAATGAAACCACTTACCAGCAGACAGTTATCTCCCGCTCCTCCTCCCCTCAGCCGCTACCAATCTGCTTTCTGCCTCAAATGGATTTACCTATTCTGGATGTTTCATATAAATGAATTCATACAATATGTAACCTCTTGTGTCTGGCTGGCTTCCTTTGAGTAGCATGATGTTCTCAAGGTACATCCACATTATAACATATATCAGTACTTCATTCATTTTTATGGCCAAATAATATTCTATTGTAGGTATTTACCACAATTGATTGATCCAGCCTTCCATCAATGGACATTTGCGTTTCTTCCGCTTGTGGCTGTTGTGAATAGTGCTGCTCAAACATGTATGTAAATGTATTTGTTTGAGTACCTGTTTTAAATTCTTCTGGATATACACCTAACTATCTATACGCTATCACCTTTGCAGTACACCTAGCAGATTCACTCTAGATATGTGAACTAAATGTTTAACTTCACAATATTTGCAAGTCTGATGAAATTATCTGCACAGTATATTTAAGAAAGAAGCCCCAACAAAATTCCAAACTTAGCTCTGCTTCAGGCTATGAAAGCCTGAATGAAAGAAAATTAAAGAAAGCAAAGAAACAAAAGAAAAACACTAATTTGAAGGGATACATAAACCCCTATGTTCGCTGCAACATTATTTACAACAGCCAAGATATGGAAGCAACCCAGTGGCCACTGATACAGGAGATAAAAAAGATGTGGTATATACATATAATGGAATATTACTCAGCCATACAAAAGAATGAGATCTTGCCATTTGCATGGCAACGTGCACAGACCTTGAGGGTATTATGCTAAGTGGAGTAAGTCAGACAAAGACAGACAAATACTATATGATTTCATTTACATGTGGGATCTAAAACACAAAACAAAGAAAATATAAACTGACTCATTAATACAGAGAATAAAATGGTAGTTGTAGGAGTGGGGGGAGATGGACAAAAATAGGTAAAGGGGATTAAAAGGCACCTCCCCGCCCCCAAAAAAGCTGATACTCCCACTGCATCCCCCATACTATTCAAACTGCACCAGACTTATCATCCTTCATCCCTAAAAACTCTATGAGGGGACCCGTGATCTGGCCGTGCTATAGGACATCTGATACACACTCAGTAGGCTGGTGCTTTGAGAGCAGGATCACCAAGAACCCACGACCCCTGTGAAGGCACGCCAGGAGTACTGACTCCTGGTACCATGTTCATATATTCTGAGAAGTAACCTCCATGTCACTCTGCTTTGTAGGACATGCTACCTTGTGTCTGAAAACAGCCCGAGGTGCCCCCATGTCATGGTGTAGCAGCAGCCTAAAGGAGAATGTCCTAAGAATACACTTATAGATTTTGTACAGAAAGGCTATCATGGCTACTGCAATATTTTCTTTGGATTTAGGAATTTAATTGTTGATCCTTTTTAGCGGCTAGAAGCTAAATATAATGAAGACCCAGCATGCAACTGCATAAAAGCAACCTGTCAAATGTTTTTTTTTTTCCATTCCACAAACACTTATTAGTATTTAATATGCCAAGCTCTATGTTAGACCCCACGGAAGAAATGTATATTCAGTGTCTATTCTCCAGAAGTTCACAGTTGAGTGAAGCTGTGAAAACAGCTGTGGCTTATATCAAGATTAATCACATTAACTGTCATCTTCCCACTTATCTTTCATTGATCGATCCATTTAACAAAATTTGTTCAATACCCACTTTTGTGTCAAAGAGCAAATAAAATTGTAGGAGAAATGAAACTTATCTTTCCTATTTCATCTAAGGAAGTACAAATAAAGTACAAATAAAACTTCTTCAGAAAAAATTAAGGCCAAAAATGAGATGGAAATATATAAACATAACATATGGGAAATGTTTGAAATGAAAAACACTTTAGCAATTTTACTATATTCCAGACATGAACAAAACTTAATATTCACAGATTTCTAGCCAGATGGAATTTCTTTTTTTTTTTTTTTTTTTTAAGATTTTATTTATTTATATGACAGAGAGAGACAGCGAGAACAGGAACACAAGCAGGGGGAGTGGGAGAGGGAGAAGCAGGCTTCCCGCTGAGCAGGGAGCCTGATGTGGGACTCGATCCCAGGACCCTGGGATCATGACCTGAGCCGAAGGCAGACGCTTAACGACTGAGCCACCCAGGCGCCCGCCAGATGGAATTTCATATTGACAATGAAAGCTGAAGTATTTAATCAACTCAAAACTGGAGAGAAGTAAATCAGAATAGGCACTTCCACAACTACCTTTAATCATTAGATTTTAAAGAGAGAATACTCAATCACACAAAGCATATTATGAAAAACTAATAAAGTAGCGAATTACACGAAGAAAGCCCCAGATGAGCTGCATTCACAATTTCGTAAAAGAGGCTAAGGCTGTACAGGCAATAGTAACATTAGTTTCTTCTCAGGCAATGTTTTAGCTAAAACGATAGCTGATTATACACTCTATGTTACCATGTAATCTACTTCAAACCCATTGGCTCGGCTAGTCATGTCCTAGAAGAGCCATAGAAGAGGTACAGCCCTGTCCCACCTGGCTGACCCAAGGTCCCCTGACGATTGCTGGATGAAGGAGAAAGGAGCACCGTTTAAGTTTCTCAGCCAGTGATGAGCACATAAAATGACACCAATATATTTGGTAAATAACTTACTTATAGTTTCACGTTTCCAGGGTTTCGGCACAACGAACCACCCAACTCCAGAGCGGTCATTCACATAAACTGCATGGACTCTCTCCCTTGTTTTCCGTTAATATCATCGCTAGTGCCTAACTGGCCCGGACAAAAGTCAGCAGCTCTCAACATAAGGGCTACAGAGGATATGCTGAAAGAAAGGCTTAACCTATGAGGTCGGAGAACCTGAGCCCAACCGGAATCTTGAGTCTAACATGCAGTGATAAAAGTTTACTTCTTTTAGCACTAGTCCCATCTATTAAAATACGAAAATGCTTGTCACTTTCTAGGACTGCAGTGAAGTAACTGAAATAGGTGACAATCACCTAGGGTGGACAGCCAAACCTTACTATACAAATGCTACTTACTCCCAAAGATCCTTCCCCCCAACTCCACCAATTGGATTGTGTGTCCTTCCCCTGAGCTTATCTTTTCATAATAGTAACATGTTCCTTTATTGATTTGTTTATAATCTCCCTTGCAAGACTATGAACATCTTAAGGGCAAGCACTGGGACTTCACTGCATTTTCTACTCTGAAACTTGGTAAAGATTCAGTAAATAGTTGAACTCTATTATTTTATGATTATTATTATGAATATAGTTAACAGCTTACTCTTTATAGAACTGTTACATACAAGCTTTACAGCACTTACCATAGTGCACTAGATTTCAATGACTCCCTTCATACAGTAATATCCAAACCAAAAATGTCCAATCCAAGGTGATGAACTCCCAGGATATAGGTGAAAGACTCAAGCAAAGTAGAGTTGTTCAAACTCTTTTCGCTGAACAGAGTTACCACCCTCACATAATCTCTCCGCACATCATAAGTACTGTATCTATCTATTGTAAACTTAAGGATTTACCAGTGAGAAGCTATGTCAATTATTTACTCCAGTTCTTGGCAGTACACAATAACTGGGGCTCAAGAGTCCAACACATCCAAGAAGGCTGAAGAAATCTGTGTTACATTCACTGAGAAAAAGGATTTAACTCTATTCTTTTAAAGGTCAAATAAATAAAGCCTAATTTAAAAAATCAAATAAATGTTTTTTCCACCCTTTTAAAAATGTATTTATGTTCCCACAGGGTCATGGATAGAGCATGTACATCACAGTCAGAGAGAGATGAAACCAAATCTCAACTCTACTGCTTACTTGACTTGCTAAGTAAACCTGGGACAAAATAAGTGCTCAATAAATAATAATAGAGGTTATTATTACAGCAAATTTTGCAGAAGCTACAAGAATACTGTCTACATGAACCATGATCTTACTGAGCTACATAAGCCGAAATGAGTGTATCAAAAGAAACCAGACTGTTCTTCTTGTGAAAATGATGAAGCCTCATACGAGTTTGTTTATCATGGAATAAAGTTTCAGAAAGAATAGTAGAAAGGGTTGGACAAAAGCAGGGAGAAGGGAGAGGAAAGTTCAGGAAGCAAGTGTGAAACAGCATCATGATCAGATGAGAAGAGACGACAGGTAAACAAATCAGTTTGCATTTTGACCATAATCCTAGAATTTTAAAGAAAAGATTAGATGAAATTAAATTCTTTGTGTTTTCAACTTTGGGCAAAATTTCTTCTCAGACCAAAATGAGCAGGGGTCTCGGAGCACAAAATCTATTCTATTTAGCCACAGTCTTTCCATGTGCTGAGCTACAGCAAGAAAACAGAGGGGTTGGCAGCCACCAGCCCAGGATGGGATGAAATCTGGAATGAGGTGGTGTGCTGAGCAGCAGTAGAAATACCAATAAAGATAGGATTAGGTTTAATAATTCTCACTAAGCCACTGTTCCCTCAGCAAAGGAATCTACCACCTGCAAAATGTCCATGGTAATGGCAACCGGGTCCCTGGTTTTCAGTTTTGTGAGCCCTCAAACCTGTTTTTTTCTCTAGTTTGCTTAGGCATTCAAGGGAATTTATAGCAACCCAATCTGAAAAGACAGATATATTATCCTAAAAGTTGGTCAGTTTGTAATAAAAGATATAACAAGTTACATCAATAGATGGTCTCTATAGACTGGGGGCTGCTAAAACAGAGCTAGAAGAGGTAAGATGGAAGCTCACTGTAGTACAACAGAAAGATTCCTCTATAGCAATCCCTGACAAACTACCCTTCTAAATTCTCAATGTAGAGGGACGCCTGGGTGGCTCAGTCATTAAGCATCTGCCTTTGGCTCGGGTCATGATCCCAGGGTCCTCGAATCAAGCCCCACATCCGGCTCCCTGCTCAGCAGGAAGCCTGCTCCTCCCTCTCTCACTCCCCCTGCTTGTATTCCCTCTCTTGCTGTCTCTCTCTGTTAAATAAATAAATAAAATCTTTAAAAAAATAAAAATAAAACAAACTCTCAAGGTAGAGTTCAAAAGAGTCTCCCTGGGACAATACCGGAGACCAACTTCTGGCACGAACTCATCTCTTTACACCATAAACCTCTTCCTCCCTTCCTACCCCATGACTTTTCTGATGGCATTTTCCAAATTACTGAGATATTTAGAGTTAGTTATTCAAGATTTTTAAACAATTTTTAACTCTTTTAATAGAATCGTTATAAAAATCTAATGAATAACATTAATGAGCTAAAGAGTAGTTAATTAAAATGATATTGATTGGCAACTAATGACAAAATAATGTCTAACCAGTTAAAAAGTTGAATATATGCCAATAAGGACTACAATAAATTCAATTTATCCTTGCAGGTAAAGAAGGATATCCAGAATTTCAGTAAACGTAAGAGCATACTAATGATTTTTGCCTAAATAGCCTCTGCACTACACACATATGCCATTCTGGAATACTAACAAAATGAAATACTAAGTGTGCCCTGAACTTCATCAGTATTTCTATTAGGTGAATGAAATAATTCAAGAAAATTAGTAAATTCAAAAAAAATTTGCCCAAATGTAAAATTTCACACATATAATAGAACAGGGTATTCCCAAATGACAAATTTATCACTATACATCAATAACCATGACAAATACATGGTACCTTTTGGATCAATAATCCAGTATGCATAGCTATATTTGTTACACAAATGGTTTTAGAGTTGATCCACTCCACTTCTAGAAGGAAGATATAAATCAAGCTAGCTATAAATTCCAAGGAGAGAGAGAGAGAATGTTCCTTGTATTGAGCTACTGAGTTGAAGACTGAGGAGCGCCTCTTCTATTTAGAACAAATCTAGATCCAGTGAGATAGAATGCAGTAGACATGTGGAAACCAAATTACATTCAAGGTGAGTAGGAACTAGAGGGAAAACAATCTTCCCAAACTTGTGTATAAAAACAAAAAATTGAAGAATAGTGAAAACAAATTTAAGTCTGTGAAAAGTGTAAGAAAATGCAGAGCCAGTTTCTCTTTCCCTCTGCTATTCTGGGAATAACCAAACACCCTTTGATTTTCAAAATTCTTTTAATAGCTCAGTTTAACTGATGAAATGACATTAAAAAGAATTCTGAAAAAAGACATCAACCCATTCAGACCATTCAGGGCATAGGCTCCAATCCGGGAATCACAAAACCATCCACCAAAGCTGGTGACGAGATATTCTTATGGCAAAGGGGTATGGGGAAGTATAAACCTTAAGTGCTGAAATGCTAAATAGTAATCAGAGGAGTAAAAGACCTAGAACATAAGTTGTATCAAACTGGGAAGATTTTTCTTTAAATCTTCACTCTATCACAATACACAGCCCATCATGATTTTAGATTATAACAGATATTGAATCTGTTGCTAAACAACTGAAACTGTTCATTCTTACAACCTGTCATTTCAAGACACTAAAAAATTAACAGACTGTATCTTCACTATCTACCTTTTGAGTGAAGAGAAGATAACTCCCTTCAAGTCTTAAGCCTTAAATAAACCCAATATTATATGAGTGTTGCAAGATGTGGGAAGAATTGTAACCCTTTTAGAATATTGACCCTTGGAAGCCATCATATTAGTTGACTGTTGCTACAAAATTAATATCTCCATTCTGTATTTTTATAATGAGAAAAAGAAAAGAGGAGAGGTTGGTGGACAGAGTACACTCCGTATAGAGTGTATTGCACTACCAATTAAAGTCAGTACACAGTGCTACTCTACTCTAAATTTATCCTACTATATTGATAATATTCTAATATAACTAAAGCTTTCACATGATATGAATAAATAATAGCTATGTGCTACAGTAAAATATCAACCAAATGAAATTAGTATTGTCAGTACTCACCCTTAAGCGAGACTCATTCTTAGAATAATAATAATCAAGAGACATACCTGCTCATTTTGATTCCATTCCCCTTGCTGCTTCAGAGATGGAATGGCCCAGATGCTTAGTTTCCCTGAGAAGTGAATGGCAGCAAGGAGGGTCCCATCTGGAGAAAGGCTCATCTTAAAGATGCCATCCTATACAGTAATTATATTACATTAATGTCAGATCAAGGAACTTGTAGCTGAATAGAAGTAACCTCCAGAATTTAATAACACTCTTCAGAGGGTGCGATGTCATAAATTATCTCTCATAATTAAGGGTTCCAACAACTTTATAACATTATAATGTGCTCCAGCATAAAGAAACAGGGCTCTTACCCTTCAGAAGTTGTGTTTTTTTTTTTTAATCTCTTTTACAGTGTTATAATTTACATATAACTGAAAACCCAAATATGTGAGCATTATAAAAATACTCTTATATCACACATCAATTACCATGAGTTCTTATTAACTTTCATGGGTTGATATTGACCAGACTGTGAGTTTCCTGAATTTGGGCTCCACATTTTTCACAAGATTCTGTATGTACACAACATCTGGAATATTCTATCAAAAACAGGCCACAAATTCATGCTGTGTGGACAAAAGGAAAGGGACAGGAGGAAGAGAGAGTTGGCAGAAAAGAGGGTCCAATGATGAAGAGAACAGAAGAAGGCAAGGGGGGACATGCACTCCTGCATTTGAGGAGCACTAGGAGTGTTTATTGTCCAGATTCCTGGTAAATCTGAGGAATCTAACTGTTGCTACAGAAAAGAGAAACTTTGTAGTGCACAGATTTCATATGGCCAACCTTAGTGTGCACAGAGTCCTACTTGTCCAAACAATCGCTCAGTCCTTTCCCAGTGAGAATACCAGGTTGCTCAGTTACCACAAGAGAAACCACACAAGCAGAAAGGTCTCCTGCCTATTGCCTAAGAAGAATCAGAAGAATCAAACACACACTGACATCTAGTGCCCATCAAGCATTTATTAAAACCAGGGTTTAAGGTAGTTTACCCACAAATAATAAAACAGACCCAAAATGAGGGCCTACAACCGTATTTGTCCTTAACATTTAGAAAACTGGCAACACAGGGCCCACCACCACCAAATGGCAATAATCAGGTGGGACTGGGTAGCATATGCACCCTTCAAAGGGTCATAAGCTTTCCAGTTAGCCAAAGCCCCCACCATTCTTGGTTACGGCCCGAAGATTAAGGCCAAGTATCAGATACAGAAGTAAAAATTAAACATGACTATACTAAAAAAAAGAAAGTATGCCTGGCTCAATTCACCACATTATCTACCATTTGGTCTCTACAGACACAAGAGTTTAAGTCCTCAGGTCTACAATGACTAAGATATATTAGCCATCAAAAACAAATAGAACTATTTCAGAAAGTGAGAAACACTGCTGGATGAGTAGACAGATGAAAAGATTAGCATACTCTAATCTCCTCACTAAGGAGTAAAATCACTTTAGCTGGATATAACACATCTAGCCCAGAATGCCAGAATTAAATGTAAGAAAGAATAAAATACAGAAGCCCGAGAAAGAGAAGCAATAAAAGCAAAAGCACTTACAGCAAGATGTTAAATACACCCCATCCCCTCCTCTGTGATGGGAAGGAGGTCAGGAGCAGAAGATGAAGAGCCTGGCATCTTCCATTCACAACTCTGGTCAATAAGCTCCATGGTTTGGTATAAGGTACGCCTCACAAGCATAGATTCTCATGAGCTAGAAGAACTCTCCCCCATCACTGAGAGTTTATAGAGAAAGAAACTGAAGACCGCAAGGGTTAAGACACTTGCTGAAGATCATTCAAGTATAGACCACAGAACCTGAGCTAGATGCATCTTCAATCCCGACCCAGGTCACTTCCACCGCACCATGATCACTGCCCTCCCCTGGGTCGTAGCCTTTCCAGGAGCCACAGGTATGCTCCTCAGGAGAAGTAATGGTCAAGTACACTTAACTGTTTTCCTCACCTACATAATTAGTCACTAGTGATCTGGATGAGCACTCCCAAGTATTACAAATGCTTCATTAACCAACTCCCCTAAAAGTGCTCTGAAAGCAAATAGGAAGTTTATGAATGTCTTTAACAAACAAAAAGTATATTGAATAATGTGAAGAATTTAACAATAGCACTGTGACCTAGAAAACACTGAATGAATATGCTAAATTATCCTTTGTTTTAATCCTTCTCCCCGCCCCCACTTCGTTTTCTTTCTAGACATTAAGCAGTAAATAACTAAAATATTACCACTTGCTTTTTAACATGGTGGGTTCTTAAATCCCCTTAGTTTTATTTGATACTATGATATCCACACTGCAAACTTACCATTCCTTTTTCTAAGCATTTTGTTGTAGAAATCTGCACTTACACAGACACAAAAGTAGAAATTATAGTACAATGAATACCCAGAGACCCAACAACCAGCTTATAAACAAGTATCAACACTCTACATTCGTTTCATGATTCCTTCCCAAGTCACTACAATATTCTCGGGAATTTTTTTTTCCCCCGAAGTGTTTTAAAGCAGATCCACGTACTGAATGGAGCACTGGGTGTTATACGCAAACAATGAATCATGGAACACCACATCAAAAAACTAATGATGTAATGTATGGTGATTAACATAACATAAAAAAAAAAAAAGCAGATCCCAGACATGAGCTGTATATACATTAAGTATACATTTCTTTAAAGTCCCAAGTTATCTGTTTAAGTCTCATATATACCCACAGTGAGAAGATACGGTTACCAACAGCAATTGAATTACAGCCAGTCAGCAATAGACAAGTCACCTATGTTACTTTAGAAACAAGGTGTTCTCCTTGTGAAATAAAAACTCCTCTTTTATTTGTAGAAACATTTCTGAGTGTCTATAGCACACAGAGTATTTCTGGCTCGGGGAATAATTTATTATCCTGACAGTAACTGTTACACAAGATCTAAAGCCACAGTTAGAAAATCCAGGCTAAATTCTGTGAACAGAGTCTGCCGTATTTAGAAGTCTGAGTGCTTCTTGGTCGGCCAGAGAGAGAATTTCAGCGTGTGTGCTCTGGAAATAAGAGGAAATGGCTTTTCAATCAACTGCACATCACAATAAAAGTAAACCTCAAACCTTCAAACTGTAATTCCTTATACTGCATTAAGATTTCTCAGCATAAGTGAATAATAATCTTTGTCTCATCTTCTCTATCTGAATTAAGTAGCTCCAAAAGCAATAAAATTTAGCCGTAATTTTCACTTCACTTAAAATGTGTCTGAATTTTTTATATTCCTCAAATATGAATGTCATGTTTATTTTAATCATTACAACAGCTGGAATGTTGGTCAAGAATATATATCTTGGCAGTGAAAAGCAGAAAGCTTTTTCTCTGAGAGCAGGAACAAGACAAGAAAGCCCACTCTTGCCAGTTTTATTCAACATAGTACTGGAAATTCTAGCCAGAGCAATTAGGCAAGAAAATAAATAAAAAGCACACAAACTGGAAAGGAAGAAGTAAAACAGTCTCTTTACAGATGACATAGTATTATATACAAAAAACCTTAAAGACTCCACCAGAGAGCTGTCAGAATAAACAAATTCAATAAAGCTGTAGGATACAAGAATCAACATACAAAAACCACTTGCATTCCTATACACTAACAGTGAACGATCAGAAAGAGAAATTAAGAAAACAATCCCAGTTATACTAGCATCAAAAAGAATAAAATACTTAGGAATAAATGTAACCAAGGAGGGGAGAGCTCTGTACAAGAAAAGCTATAAAACACTGATCAAAGAAATTGAACACAAATAAATGGAAAGACAGTCCATGTTTTGGATTGAAAGAATACTGTTAAAATGTCCATAGTGTCCAAAGTGATTTATAGGTTCAATGCAATTCTTACCAAAATTCAAATGGCATTTGCCACAGAATTAGAAAAAATAAGCCTAAAATTTGTATGGTACCCTAAAAGACCCTAAGTCCCCAAGCAGCCAAAGCAATCTTGAGAAAGAACAAAGCTGTAGGTATCACACTTTCTGATTTCAAACTACTGTTACAAAGCTATAGTAATCAAAATACTACTGCATTGGCATAAAAACAGGCACAAAGATCAATGGAACAGAACAGAGAGCCCAGAAATAAACCCATGCATAGGCAGTCAACTAATTTACAACAAAGGAGCCAATAACACACAGTGGGGAAAGGATACTCTTTCAATAAACGGTATTGGAAAAACCGGATAACCACTGGACCCCTAATGTACACCATATACTAAAATCTACTCTAACTGGATGAAAGTCTTGAGCTTAAGACCTGAAACCCTAAAACTCTTATAAGAAAACAGGGGATAAGCTCCGTGACTGGTCTTGGCAATGATTTTGTTTGGATTTGACACCAAGAGCAAAGTCAAAAAGAGCAAAAATAAACAAACAGGTCTACATCAAATTAAAAACATCTGCACAGCAAAGACAACCTATGAAATAGGAAAAAATATTTACAAATCACATATCTGATAAAAAGTTAATATCCAAAATACACAAGGGACTCCAACAACTCAATAGCAAAAAACTCCAAATAACCCAACTTAAAACTGGAAAAAACATCTGAATAGACATTTTTTCCAAAAAAGACATACAAATGGCCAACAGGTACATGAAAAGGTGTACAACTAATCACCAGGGAAAGGCAAATCAAAACTACAATGAGGTATCACCTCACACATGTTAGGATGGCTATCATCAAAAAGAAAAGAGTACAAATGCTGGTGAGAATGTGGAGACAGACAGACAGACACACACACACACACACACACACACGAGTATCATTTGGCCTTAAAAAAAGAAGGAAATCCTGTCATTTGTGACAACATGGATGAACCTGGGGGGCATTATGCTCAGTGAAATATGCCAAACACAGACAAATACTGCATGATATCACTTATATGTATTATATGTAATCTTAAAAAAAAAATCAAACTCCTAGAAACAAATAGTAGGAAACTAGTTGCCTACCAAAGACTGGGGGAGTGAAGGAAGTATGGAGAGGTTGGTAAAGGGGTAGAAACTTCCAGTTATAAGATGAAGTTCTGAAGATCTAATGTATAAGATGATGACTACACTTGGGCGCCTGGGTGGCTCAGTTGGTTAAGCGACTG